ATTCATATAACAAATCGGCTGCAAACGTAAAAAATAATAATAATCATAAATATATTTAATATTACTTTTATTATATATAATCTGTTGTATTATTTAACCCTTTTATTCTCTTTCCTGCAATTTTCTTCAGGTTTATTTTTTTCTCCTCACTAGGGCCTAATGATACCTTATATTTTATCAAAGTGTATACGCTACTGAGGACTTCTACGGATAGCTTACTGCGCATGCGCTGGGACTACCCAACACTGATCTGCGCGCTATTTAAAAGTAGTTTAAGCCATGCTATCAGACCGACGAGCTAATCTTCACAGCATTGAAGTGGAGGAAGGATCTGTTCGTTCTATTTAATCAACGTAAGCCCTATTTTTTAATATTACACATATATTTAGTCACAACAATTGTACATTATAAATAGTTATTCAATTTATTATTTTTATAATTAACATTTTCTGTTTGCTAATGTTCTAACTTTCACGTAAAAATATTATTAGATCGTGCAACAACAATAAATGTGTTATTATAAATGCTATTATTTTTCAGTTCCAAAATTGAATATACACACAATCTACATCGATCTTCGACAAAGAATGAAGCCAATAAAGAGTTACATAAATTAAAAATTGTACAAAATATATTTGCATATTGTATGTATTTATGAAGTTACAATAAATAAACAAAAGAAATCATGTACATATTTACAGACTTTTCCACTACATTCTTAAACATAACAAACAATCAACAGGTTAGGTCAGACTTACGGATAGGTTTATTCGGTTAGGTCAGGGTCCAAGGTTAGGTCAGACCTACGGTAAGTTATATTAGGTTAGGTCATGCTCACGGTTAGGTTATATTAGGTTAGGTCAGGCCTACGGTTAGGTTATATTACGTTAGGTCAGGATCTAAGGTTAGTTAGGATCATGTTAGGTCAGGGACTAAGGTTAGGTTGTATCAGGTTAGGTCTAGAGACCTAACATATATCATTCCACGTGTTACTATTACTATTATCGTGGAACTATAATTATTATCCTTACTACTCTTATTATTATCAATTTAACCGATATCACTACCCATATTACTACTTTTACTATCGCTACAACTATTATTATTATGCTTATTATTCTTATTATTATTAATATTATTACCCATATTACGACTATTATCATCGCTAGAACTGTAATTATTCTTACTACTCTTATTATTATCAATATTATTACGCATATTACGACTATTATCATGGCTGGAACTATAATTATCCTCACTACTTTCATTATTATCACTATTATTCCGCATATTACTACTTTTATCATTATTATCCGTATTATTCTCATTATTATCAATACTATTACGCATATTACTACTTTTATCATCATTATCCTTACTACTCTTATTATCATCATTATTATTACGCATATCACGACTATTATCATCGCTGGAGCAGTAGTTATCCTCACTACTCTCACTATTATCAGTATTATTCCGCATATTACTACTTTTATCATTATTATCCCTATTATTCTTATTATTATCAATATTATTACACATATTACGACTATTATCATCGCTGGAACTATAATTATCCTCATTACTTTCATTATTATCACTATTATTCCGCATATTACTACTTTCACCATTATTATCCCCATTATTCTTATTACTATCAACATTATTACGCATATTTCGACTATTATCATCTCTGGAACAGTAATTATCCTTACTACTCTCACTATTATCAGTATTATTCCGCATATTACTACTTTTATCATTATTATCCCTATTATTCTTATTATTATCAATATTAT